GGGGGGGGGGGGGGGCTTTGGGGGAGACAGGTTAAAAAAAGAAAAGCTCACAATTTAGGACTTCTTCCCATACTTCTTTTCTGACTCCTCGGCACTAAAAGGGAAGGCTAACATTCAACGAGATTCACTCCCCTAGTTATGCTCCACATAATCACTCAACAACAGGTCTACAGTTCGGCATAGACCTCATTGGCAGTTTGCAACACAACACCCTTGTGATCCAATACAAACTGATAGCATTTGCCACTCTCCCAAAGGAACACATCACCATGCATCTAAAGTGTGCAATAGCTGATTTCCAAAAAGTGTAAAAGTGAATGTGACCCTGGGGTCAGGAGCAGGACAGAGTGCAGGTGGCTTGTCCGGGGGGTATGGGGTGGGGGAAAGGGGCGCGCGGCTCTTAAATGCTGTGCATACCTCCAGTGGGAGGTGTGGGGGGCATGTGCCCCCATGGACATATGTGAAGGGCAAGGGCAGGCAGTGTGCTGTGGGCTCAGAGCCAGGGGCTACACAGGCCTCTTCCTGGAAGTGGAGTGGAGCAGGCTCAGCTGTGTGGGGTGGGTGGTGGTAACACTGGGAGGGGTGGCTTACCCCTAGAGCCGCTGCTGCCCACCCTGTGCCACTGAGCCTGCCCCGCCACCAGGAAGAGACTGGTGCAGTCCCTGGCCCCAAGCCTGCAGTGAGCAGCCCACCCTTGCTCTGTGCACAAATCCGCAGGGGGCACATGCTCCCCCATATATGGGTGTGCGCATGCTAACTGTAACAAAATCTGCATCCTTTTCCCCAATCAACTAGACAGGAAGACCTTGATAAAAATAGACCAGACAAGTGTAACAATAAAGTGTAATTTCACACACATAGATACTTTGATGACTACCAAAATAAAGTAGAGCTGCACTTTAAATATATATAGTACTGTCAGAAACACCACTTTTAAGATAAGTACTAAGAAATAAAACCCAAAGTGACATCAAAAAGTACTGAAATGTCTAATGTCCCATGCAAAACCAATTTTAAAAAGGAGACACTGAAATGTTCCATTTCCCCACCCTGCTATTCCCATACATAACAGAAAACTGATCAGTGTTCTATCTATCCTAAACAGCCTTCAAAAGCTCAATACACAGGATATAATATGTAGTGTTTACAAACCTGAGAATATGACAGAAAATATATACACATGAGTAAGCAAATTAGTTTCAGCAGTAAGCCAAAGTGCCAGAAGCAGTTGCCTGTGGGAAAATGAAAAGTAACAATGCAGTATTTATTATTTAAAGACAAAAACAATGACAAATATATTAAATTGTCACTAACTACAGGGTACAGATATACTGTGTTTTATTTATACACACAAGTCCAGATATTAATATATATATGAATCCAGATATTAATCAGTAACATTTTGCTGTTGTTTAAACACTGTAATTTAGTTCTTTCACTTCCTTTGATTTGAAGTCAAATCTAAAACACAAAGACTCAAAGTCACTAAATTCACAAATTTCTCTCTCTCTGAATAAACAACTTCCATTGGCTTAAACTTGGTGTCCACATATCCAATAATATTTAGCCCTACAGAAGGAAACAGGACAAAAACAACAAACAGGACAGAAAGGAAACAGGACAATAAAACAATATTTAGCCCTACAAAAGGAAACAGGACTTTTCATATGTTCCCATGTGCTAATTTCCTAACCCTAGACACATCTTTTGTGCAGTATCCTAAAGTAAATTCATTCTAAATTTTTTTTCTTTTTAAGACATTGTCACTGGCACTGCAGTGCACAATATCCCCAAAGAACAGCCAGCTTACTGTTGAGCACAACTAGCGCTGTGGATGAGAGCAATAGTTTGCTCTCATCCACAGACAGCAAACTATTCTAGCCAGCTTACATGAATAGTATGCTCTCGGTGGATGAAAAACTGCCCAGGGTAACGTTACTCCAGGCATTAATGTGTTTCTCCATATGGGGTAATAACTTATCCCAAGCCCATGTTAACACATTGGGGTAATCTGTTACCCCAATGCAATTTCTGTATAAATGACAGGTCTAGGCCTGTTTGGCTACTTTGGGTGGATACATCTGAAAAGTCAGCATTCATTCACACCTCATTCATGTCCATTTCAGGTATCTATGGCAACTAATGGATGGCCATCCTCCACTCTGCTTTTGCAGAAGTGGTAATCCCTTTTACTAACCACTTTGTTTGCAAGCTGCAAGGTCATCAAAACACCTTGTCCTTTGCCAAAAAACAAAAACAAACAAAACCCCTTTGTCACACCCAAATCCACTTCTGATCTGTGTCCTCACCTCCAACAAAGGCAGGGCAAACTAGCTTGTATGTTATGAAAGGGGCAGGTGAGGCAGAGTTTTGCCATGAGAAAAGAGAGCAAAGGGATAGCAGAGAAGAAAAAGAACATCATACTGCAATACAGCATACATTATGGAGTACTCTTCAATGGTAAGGGCTTGACACCTCCCATATCCCTTTTACCTGCTCTCACTAAGCCCCTGCATGTGTGGTTTCCAACCAGCATCCACCCACATTTGGCTTGCCTGCAAAGGGTGGATGTGCTGGTCTCTAGCTTCTGTGCCTAGGGGGAGAGGGGCCATAGGGCAGGGCAGAATTGCTTCTGTGACAGCATAGGTGGACAGGCTTGTCTTTGATTGTTATTTATACGCATTCAACAGTAATAATTTTTTTCTTTTTTTTTCTGCAGTCCAGGATGAAAAAGCAGTGCATATTCAGTGCTGAAGCCTGTCTTGCACAGGTAACTGGGGATGACAGTGACACATCCACTGATGAAATCTTGTTCCAAGGCAGGGAGGATGCTGACTTTGTTCCAGACATGGGAGATTGTTCAGAACAAGAAGACTGTGTCTATGCAACCTTCATCCAGCTCAGATGAGGAGTTGGTGCCACAAGCAGAAGTGATGCTAACACTTCCAGTGGGAAAAGGAAGAGGACCGGCCTCTGTAGAAGACTGTGGAGAACTACAGCAGGATGTGGAGCAGAACCACTACCACCTGCAGAAAACACTGCAGATGATGACACCACTAGAGGAAGGAATGGCAGAGCGTGGTAAAAAAGTCCACAGCTAATACATGAGTCGGCAATGTGGGGAGGCGGCTAGGAAGGCCAGCTGCACCTTGTCGTGCATCCACAGATGCATCTCGAGCAGGTCCAAGGAGGTGATCCTCCCCCTCTATGCAGCACTGGTCAGGCCGCAGCTGGAGTACTGCGTCCAGTTCTGGGCGCCGCACTTTAAGAGGGATGTGGACAGCATCGAGAGGGTCCAGAGGAGGGCCACTCGTATGATCAAGGGACAGCAGGGTAGGTCCTATGAGGAAAGGTTGCGGGACCTGAACCTGTTCAGCCTTCAAAAGAGAAGGCTGAGGGGGGATCTTGTGGCCTGTTATAAACTGGTTAGGGGGGGTCAGCAGGCGCTGGGGGAGTCCCTGTTCCCCCGAGCGCCGCAAGGAGTGACCAGGAACAACGGTCACAAGCTGGCGGAGGGAAGGTTTAAGTTGGACATCAGGAGGCGCTACTTCACGGTCAGGGCGGCTAGGGTCTGGAACCAGCTTCCAAGTGAGGTGGTGCAGGCTCCCACCCTGGGGGTTTTTAAAAGGAGGTTGGATGACCACCTTACTGGGGTCATTTGACCCCAGTGGTCTTCCTGCCATGGCAGGGGTTCGGACTAGATGATCTGCTCAGGTCCCTTCCGACCCTAGAAACTATGAAACTATCATCGGAGAACAGCCAAGGACATGGTCCATGAAAGTGCTGGGCTAACAAGAGAAAGTAATAAAGACACGGTGGTGGAAGTTCCACCTGTTTCTCTCACAAGATAACCTGACTGTTATCATAAGAGAAACAAACAGATGCAGAAAGAAGATTCAGGGAGTGGAAAGCTAGGCATCCTGAAAATAGAAAGAAGTGGAAAAAGCTGGATGAAAGAGTTGAAAGCCTACACTGGCCTCATACTGCTGAGTAGTCTATACCATGGTGGTCATGAGGCACTGGAAGAGTTAGTCATGAGGAATGGGAGCAGCCTGCTGTCATCCAGGAACCTACGCCCCCCAGAAGAGCTGGGGGAAGTCATCAGAGAGCTGGGGAAAAGATCAGGGACATTCACCTGGGAGCTGGGGCAGCTCTACATGTGAGCGGGAGCCTGGGAGTGCTCAGCCCCAGCTCCCAGGCAGCATGTGGCACCCTGCCGAGCTGCACTGCATCCATGCCATGGGGCAGCTGTCGTGTGGGTGCCAGGCTGAGGGGCGGTGATCCTTGCT